TCTGCACATTTACTCAGTGTAGTCTGAATGCAGATGGAAGAGACAGCAAAACTGAGGATTTTGGAAGCACTACATGCCTCAAACCTCTCTTTCAAATTTACGAAATTCGTTAGAGAAATGATACATATTAATATCATTCTACCTGAGGTATACTAATTGGTCTGGATGCATTGCACACTTTGTTCGCTCCAAAGAGCAAGTTTCATTAAACAGTCTCTCATTTGGAAAATCCAAGAAGTGACCCCAGTCTCTGGAGTATCTGACAGCTGGTAATAGCTGTGGAATGAGGACCTACCCCAGTATCATTTTTTTTCACAGTCTGATACCAAACACACGCAAAAATAGTAAATGAAATTAAAAAATCTGCTGTTGCTGCTGAGCAACACTGGCTCTGAAGTGACTCTGAGAAGGCAACTGTGATCCCAATGTTTCTACTCCCTGTGCCCAAGGACTAGGGAATTGCTGGTGTTGCCAAGGAAGTTTAAGGCTTCACTCTCTTGTCACAGGCTTGTCACAAGTGCATGTGTTGTTAAATGTAAGCAAATACGATGAGCGTTCTATAGAAAGAGATACCAAAATAAAACATTTAAGCATCTCAGTTAAGACTATAAAGTAGTTTAGCAGTGATATTAAGAGAGCAACATGAAGACTTACCAGTCCTGCAGCCAGGCCACTGACCCACGTTTTCAACCGCTAGCCATCCGATTCCACTGACCAAAGAAGTGAGCATCACATAGCAATCTGTGCTGGAGACAGAGCAAAGCTAAAAAGAGAGTAGCTCTTTCCTAGCTCATCGTGGAGTAGCAAGAACTTCTGATTGTCTTTGGAGTAGTCTACTTTGTTTGGGACAAAGAATACCTATTACCAAACTACATTTAATGACAGAGAACTAATAAGCAAACACTTTATTTATTTAGCTATTGATTTATTTAACAGCATTGTATAGGCAAGCTGTAGAAGGATTTGATATATAAGAAATTATATCACTTATCTCTGATAAGTGTTGTATAGAGATTCATATGTACAAATTTAAGTAGATGTTCCTCTTGAATACAGAAAAAAACTTGCAGTGATCTAATACTATGCCTAAGATACAAAAAAGGAATACGTAGTTACTAATGACAATGAATAAAAAAGACAGGAAAATGGAGAAATTCAGTGGCAGTCAGCATCAATAGATGTGCCAAAAGCTTGTGAAAGCTCCCTCGTATGATGAAGTGACTGTCTCATGAAATATTAGCAGCTATCCAAAACCGGGAAAGTGTGAAAATCTTGTTGCTGTGTAAGTTATCTGAGACACTCATGCCAATTATAGACTTGCGGTGAGGAAAAGAGACATTGGTAATCATGACAGTGACTATGTTCTGGTGTCATGTGAATAGTCTCAGGCAATTATTCAAATCAATCATTTCTTGCCTAGGTAGAAAAGATTCATCACTCTTAGTACCTCGTGTTGTTCAGCAACTGAATTGATGATGCTTTGCCATTTCTGGTGTTCTGTAATCTACCCATTTAAAATGACAGCGTTTGATACATGGATTTACTGAGGTGGAGAACTGTCCAGGAGGAAATGGGATACCTGGGCTCCGGTCTGGTGAAAAGCGTTATACAGGTCCAAAAAGGCCATTTCTCCTCTGTGCAGAGCATTGTCAAAGCCCGAGGCGGTTTCAGGAGTGCCAGGAGTGATGGCTGTTCCCACTGGTGGGGCATAAGGGCACTTAGGGGCCATATCTGTTTGCTGGCCCTTCTTCTGTATGGGTTGGGCAGGAGACCTGCCCAGCGTGTGTCTTGTCATCACAAGCCCTCCAGGTCCAGTGCCTGGAGTGCTCTGTCATTGGGAATGACCCTGGTGATACCTAGTGGATGACATTGCCATGTGCCCGTTCAAAAGTGGTCTGACTCTGTTTCCCAGCCCTGTCTGCCCTATCCTGTCCTCTCATATCTCCTGTTGTCTGTAAACAGAGGTTCCTGGTTTCTATTCATGCTCTCTCTCTCATACTCCCGTCTTTTCCGGGGCAAATTCTTCTAACTTCCGCCTTCCTGTTTGTTGCTTCCCCTCTCAAATTTGCTGCTTTGCTAACCTGTCTGTCCTTGCACTGTTTCTGCCTCCCTCCTTGGTTGTTTTCTCTGCACCTTCCTGCACCCCTCCTCATTAACTGTCTCTAACAAACGTACTAATAAGCACTGCCGCCTGCAGGTGCGGGGATGACTGCACAGGCAAGCTGGCAAGGGAGGTACCGAGGGCATCGTGGACGTGCCTGAGATGAGCGCTCATAGGATTGACTTCTAGTTCCAGAAGAATTATTCTGGGGTAAGAGACATTACTAAGAATAGGCAGTGTATGCATATATTAATCTGATCATTGCAACCCAAACTGTAACTACTTGAAATTGCAGAGAACATGGTGGCATTCTACAGTATGAACGCTGTATTTTTTTTTAATGTATTTTACTTTTTAAAAGTGAACATGCCAATGCATAAATTTCCAGTCAGACACCATCGCAGGAGGAAGTATAACAAGTGAATTTGCCACATCACTTCTGGTAGAACATCTCATTGCGGATGGGTGCACCCTTAATGGTATCTAACTCAGCTAGCTTTAGGCTCTGTCAGGATAGAAATCTTCATCTGAGCTGACTGTCTTGACTCCTTTATAGTCGGTGGGCAGGGGAACAGACACCTCTAGAGCGCAGTTCAACATGCCCCAGCTGAGCTGACTAAAACAGGTCGGATGAATCTCCTCTCCACTGACTTTAAATTGGCTGTAGTAGCTCAGATGCTGAATTTTAACCTGCTGACATCTAAAATTCAGTGAGATGAGCGTTCCTTTGGAGACTCTTGCTTCAGCTGTCTCTTCCAGGTCGCCCCACTGAGTGATCACTGATATTGATACTGAGCCAACACACAGGAGAGAGTTTTGATTTTTTCCTTTTAAGAATATTTCTCCTGCAGATCATCCTCACTTTCTGAATCCCCTCTGCATCACTCATTAGCTATGATATCCTTCATGCATGTACAATGTTGGGGGTGCTGTCGAACCTCCTTTTCCTTTCTGGGACTCTTTGTTTCAGTGAGGTCGGGGAATGTTCTAAGTAAATGCATCACCAAGTAGCCTAGCTTTTGTCGCCTTCATTTAGTGACCCACAGCTATGAAAATTGGGAGACTTTATGCCAGCCTCCAGGAGCGCAACCTTTCACTACTGCAACTGAGCTGTGTCCAGCTAGACTTCAAGAAAAAGTGGGGAACATCCAAACCTAATGCTGAAAACTGCAATTGTAAAATCCTTACTTTTCACCCCAGTTGACCTTCTGATAGAGTACTTTCATTTTCACAAACTCATTAATTGCTCTCATTCAAGCCTATAATCTCATTTCTGGTGGTAATAAAGGAAAGACTGGACTCATTACCACATTTCTGCTCACAGGAGAGAATTTAAATACTTCATTTTAAAGAAGAATTCTTCTTCTAACCTACAGTTCCCTTCCAGATCATCAGCTTTGCAAACTCTTCACCTCTAAACGCACAAGTGAGAAACTGCCTAAACATTACTTGTGATAGTACTTTTCTGCTACAAATATTGCGGTTCCCAAAACTGGACAAAGGGTGACTTACAACCGATTCCTCTGCTCAGTGATCCCTCCTGCCTGCCCATCAGGGAAGCAGTGGCAGATCCACCCTACTCCCTGCAGTCCTTTTGCTGGCCGGCAGCCCTTCCAGGTCTCATCCATGGAGAAGGCGCCAGGCCTGAAGGGCACCAGGCTAAGAGGGTTCAGACCTTCCTTCTCATGACCGCATGGTATGAAATGACCACAAAGCAAATGCTTTCTTCGCACTTCTGTCTCCTCTGCTGAGAGCTGGCCTGTGACTAAGTCTCAAAACCGGCTCTCCTCCTTATCTAGGTGACCTCGCCTGAGGCCAGCCAGGATACAAGTGTGCCCACTCTGAATTCTCACATAGTACTGCTTAAAATTAAGACTATTTCATCCCTGTCAACTTGCACTCCTTGTGAACAATCCCTTGTGAACTTATTGGAACTGTGCCCTCCTCACTATCAGCCCCAAAGTATTGTAAAAGTCGAAGAAAATAATGAATTAGAAGAGTTACAACCAGCTAAAAGACTATTTCATTTTGCGTTATGAAACCTGGCTAACCCTTGTTGGAGTTTGCCTACCCCAGAAATTATGCTGCTAGTAGCCTCAATTTTTAACTAACAGCGAGAAATAAATGAAGACCGGACAGAGACTAAGGCTCCGCTTTACCGGCAATGCAGGATCCTGAGGCTCTAACACGAATTCAAGCACCTGGCTATTTACAGGAGAATTTAGACACAGAAAGCAGAGTGTCCAAGATGACACTTCCCGGGCACTTTTGTTTGTTTATTTTTAGCTTCTTGTAGCCAAAACCTATAATATTTGTCCATATCTTTTGGTCACAGAACTTGGCTCTGTGCGCTCGTCTCGCAGAAAAGCAGAGCAGCCTTCAGACGGCATCAGCTTCGCCCTCTCGCAGAGCACGGCGGCGTGCAGTGTGCCCCAGCTCTCCCCTTCTGCGCTTTGCACTGACAGAAAAATCATCTCCAGATGAACCCGCGCTGTTTCCCTGCAGCCAGGTCCCCCTGTGCACCGCGGCAAGGGCATGCGAGAGCAGCTGCCTTCCCCCTTCTCCCTCACTAGGACATGACACCGCCCATCTCATTTATATTATTAAAATGATTTCTGTGGTGTCACCTTCTGCTTCGAGCCTGAAATGATGTAGAAAATCATGCTCTGCCTTTCGTGAACGTTTGGATTCAAACTGCAGATTTTAAACTTGTCCTCTCTCCTTGATTCTCTTATTTTCCACAGACCGCACCACTGCAGTGGCAACTCCTAGTGACTGCATTAGATGTTCAGAAAAAGAAATCACAGGCACATCGACTCATATGATGCTATGACGAGTGAGGGGGATAATGATAAACACACAGTACTTCTGGCACCCACTGGGTCTCCTTCCATTTTCTTCACAGAAAGCCTAAACAACCTGCTGTGCGGTGCATGAAAAAGGTTGTATCAGAAGAACATCTGCACATTAGTGCAGCAATTAGCTTATACAGTAGCGCCCGGTGGTGAAATAGCTTTAATCTTTTTTCCACATACGAAAATGATGCATAATATAAAGGGATGCTTACGCTGAAGTCAGACCTGACAACTGCTGTGGTGTCTCAAACATTTCATCAAAAGTAGCTCCTTCCAGGTGAGTTTGGCAAAAGGTATTTCGATTGTTTAAGGTAAAGTGCTGTATTTCTCTGTAAAGTATAATTCCAGATTACTGTGTTTCACGTGCAAAAATGCCGACAAGAACGAGTAACCTTGGTATGGGACACATAAAATACAGTAAATGTGTAAACTGATACTTCAAAATTGTTTATTTCACTTGAGCTTGATTTAAATGCGTAAATCATCTGCAGCTTTCTAGTATTCTCCAGTCTTTACTCTTGGCTTTCTGTATCATCAGTCTGAAAGAAGTCACTGCCATATGGAGAACTAGAACAGCCAAGAGTTACATTCAACAGGATTAAAAAAGTGTTTAGAGACTGCGAGTCCTCATGGTCCCGGAGAGAAGTGAGCCTTTGTAGCAGCGTGCTAAACAGTATTAGGATTTCTTGCCTCTTTTTTTCCAGGCCAGCAGGTGCTGGTGTCTTTCTTGGGAAGAGCACCAGAGGAGAAGGCCTGAGGAGTTATTCCTAATGGCAGTTCCTGTGTTACGCTGGGTGATACTAGTGTCACCAACTGCACTGCAGTCTAGGAGACAGACTAATCCTCTCCACTTTTCCTCTGTGTGGTGCAGACCTGATGTGCCTGCCTGAGTGGCAGAGCAAGGACGGAGGAAAGGAGGAATCTTCTTGGAGGGGCGTAACTCAGTTACTCCGTACACAAGGCTGTGCAATAAAACAAGCCCAGCTCTTCAACGGTAGCTAGTGGCCAAATACACAGCTGTCTGAAAAAAACACTGAGCCATCAGTTTAGTCTTTCTTGCAGCATATTCTTCTACCCAGAGCAAACCCTGGAATATTGCTGGGGAATGAGATGTTTGGGACTGAGACTCCAGAAAGATGAAAGGTATTGGATTAGCATTTTCGTCCTGTGGCTGTAATAGAAATCTTGAGTAAGTAAGTAGAGCCCAGGCATGAAAATCCCATTTGAGCTCAAATATGAATTTCAATTTCGACTTGAAATCCCCTTCCTCTTAGCGGTCTCAAGGCCAGAGTACGCAAAGAGACTCAGTAAGTCCTATTTTCAGGGTGTTAGTGGCACATAGATCCCTCTGCTAGTCCTTGTATACATGAATGAATTTTGTCCAGAGCACATGCACAAGCTCGTGTCAGAACATTGCTGTAGGTCATGTTGGAAGATGACTTTATTATTTCCAAAGCCAAAGATGTGTGAAAGAAAATCTGACCAGAGTAGAGAGACTGACTGCTGAGACATTTTGAAAATTTTGTGGGAAATGGAATCTTGGCTCTTTTAAAAGCCTGCCTAGCTGTTATAAAAGTAAAATTGCGAAATACCAGCCTTCCACACTGAAACCTAGTGATATACTCCCATCTTTTAACCTAACTTGTGGTAAGTTGTATTTCTCTTTTCTTCTTCTCTTCCTTCCTATGAGACATTATTGTGTTTAGCATAGACAAGAAGGTGCACACAAAACTCATGTGAGCTGTAAAGACATTCTGATTCTGCTGATGGGATCATTAAAGAAAAAAATCATGTTACGGCTCATTTCTTCAAACAGATAGTAGATTTAACAAGGGAGTGTGACAGTTATGGTCCCAGTCACTCAGCTGTGACTTTTGTACTAGGACCATTAAATCTGTTAGGATTACCCACAGAGGTGGGGTTAGTTCTGTAGTTGCTACACAGAATAAAACAAGAAATCATAGACTGTACTCTGAGACTAGACAACCACAGACAATAATGCCCTCTACTGATATTCAAACAATTCAAGGGAAAAGCAATGTTTCAGACAGTCTGCAAAGGCTATGAGGCCAGTACAAGGACCAAAAAACTGCATGAGGAACACAGGCAAGAAGCTTATGCTCCATACAGTTGAATGACTAGCTAGCTCACAGGAAGGCATCTGCTCAGATAAGTTCAGATTTTGCAAAATGGCAGGTTACAGGACCTTGTGTTTTAGGATGAAGAAGTCCTACTAGTTGAAAGTTAAACTTTCAGCACGCATTTCATTTCCCATGGAAAGTCCCTTTCAGGACAAGGGAATTCTCTGCATGGATTTAATGGGCGTTGCAGGGGCACCAGGTAGCACAGCTGACACCAAAATATTCACAGACTCATGGTAAATATTATAGCCCTCAATCACCTTACTTACAGGGAAATGGCGATGAGGTGGTGGTACGACATGACTAAAGTGTAATCATTTACAGGTAGGCAAACTGACTCCCTTCTAAAATGGGGTTTATATAATGCCCAAGGCTTATTACCAGGCCAGCAGTTATAATGCTTTACAGGCAAATGCTGCCAGTGGGTTTACTGGCTACAAATCACTGATTCTAACAGGTTTACAGAAATTCAGAGTGGCCTTTGGAACTTAGGTTGTTATATATTATGATGCATTATTATCTATATAGCAGGTGTTTGTAATGCTTGCTAGGAAAATCGTTTTAGCTTTTATATTGCGTATCCATAGCTTAGGATTTAAAAAGCCTATTTGAACAAGGAAAAGAAAGCTCAGATTTTTGAGCGAAAAAGCTGCTATTTAGTTTCCCGTTCCTTCCAGAAACAACACCAGCCATCCTGCTGCATCTGCTGGGAACCCTCCTCATCTCAGAAGGGCCCTCGTGCAAACTGCAGATGATATGCCGTTAATTAGGTGGCTCGGTGGAAGTTGGTGCCCACATTTTTTGCAGTGCTCCCATACATGCACCTTCAGCAGCACTTAAATCTTAGCTAGGAGTCACATCTGTGCAAGGAACAGTTTTTCCTCAGGACATCATTTGCTTGTCCCGTGTGCATATATGCTCAAGGAGGGAGAAACAGCCTTCCCCCTGCCACTGGAAGTACCACTACTTCGTTGCTTGCTCTCCAGCAACTGGGAGGAGGAAGACTGCTCAGTGGAGCCGTGTACTGGGAGCCTCCAGGCTGGAGAACAGGACCTGGCTCTGGTCCCAGCTGTAGGTAATTTGTTTCCTATTACAGGCATAGCTGGTGTCGCCAGGCAGCTTCTTTGTGCCTTTGGGCTTGCTCACAAAGTCATGGCACTGCCCACCAAGTCTGCTATGGCAGTGCTTAGGGGTTAATTTAGGGCAAATTCGTCAGCGTCAATGCCCAGATGAAGTCAGCATCTGGAAAAATAGCAAGCCGTCTTAAGAAATCTGAAAAGTGAAGTTGGATTTTTTTACCACTCTCCTAAAAACATGTCTGTGGATCAGTGTGCCCTTGGAAACACATTCAGACAGTGAAATCCAGTTTCCCTTATCACGTGCAGTAAACGCTGTGATGTTAAAACCGTCCATGGTTTCTTATACTTTTATCCGTAGGATTTGTGTCAGCAAAATAACACGGAAAGTGTATTCAAGTGGTTATTATGCACCCTTCATTTCCACTCTGATCAAGCCACATGGGTTAGTATCTGGCATCCTGTATGCAAAAGAAACTGCTTTCGATGAAAACTACAGTGCTGTTAATATGCTATATTAGTATGGGATAACTAGCGTATAGGCTTTATGATGTATTGCAACTATATCCTAGTATATATGCACACAAATACACACATAATACTTCACTGTTTGCTGAATGCAGGTATCTCTGGCAGAGAAGGTGATATAAACAAATCTAAGCAGAAGTTTTGGTTATAAAATGAGGACTGAATAATGAATAGGTCAATTTATTACAGCTCCATACCACAGCATATATTCCTCCCCCTGCACTGTATAGTGTGCACATATTATAAAATCTTCTCTAATCTCTCTTTTCGAGTTCTTTCTTTTTACATTCCTTAATCCAGGGGCGACTAAATAGTTGCACTCAGCAGACGCACGCTGAGGTCACAGCAGGGTAGGACTTATCGTAGCTCTCAGTTTTGTGCATCTGTAACCATGGCAACTTTGTGGCTGCAGCTTCCTTGAGACTCCATGTAACCTGGGGTGGGTAAAGGAAGCGCTAGCACCAGGCACTCTTCTCTCTCTGGTGCGGGTGTCACGTACAGCATCTCTCAGGATACATTTTTAATTACTATGTTCTCTTAATTACTCCTTTTGATTTCCCCAGTGGATTGCCTTTCTGTAGTATCAGTGACTCACTGCGAAACCAAGCGAAATCCGCAGTGTCTTTGGTCAATGTTGATGTTCGGGAAAATTCATCCCGGCAGAAAGTCTAGGCTGGACCTGTGCCCAGCCCTGTGCGCCTTCTCCAGAGCAACGCCCATCCGAAAAGCGAAGCCCCCCTGCACCCTCCGGGCAGCTCACCCCTCTGCGTGGCCCCCACAAGGCTGCCACGAGGGACTCGCTTGCCCGCTGGACATGTTCCTGGAGATGATCGCTCTTGGGAGACGATGGCACAGTGCGCCGGGACAGGACACGTCTGCGTTCAGCCATTTGTTTGATAGATATGTTGCTGAGAGCCATATTTTGTCTCTCTAGAAGAAGTAACAACTGCTGGTGTGTTAAATCCAGCCCTCTGCAGAGGTCCAGGCAGCACAAGACCTATGCCCCGATCGAGAATGGTGTTAGCAGCATATAGCTGTTTTATAGCTGCTCTGCACAGGCATGAGTTAACACCAGCGTTGTCTTTCTCCTCATATTCCTAGCAGGGTTTGACCTGAGCTTGGCCTTCATGAGATGGGAGCCCAGTTATCCTGCATGGCAGGTTAATCAGAATTTCAAAGAGGACACGTCTTCTTTCCACTTAAACTGCAATAAACGCAAGCAGCAATAGCAACGTTTATTTTTTTCACCTGGGCAGTAATATTTCTTCTTTTCATTAAGCCTTCCACACTTTAGAAGTCACTGTAAATAGCTGAGCAGTCGAGGCGCATTATTAATCACTGTCAAACGTTTAACACATGCAGTAGAAAGCAATCAGATTACTCCCTCAGCTTTATGCATATACCCATATGTGATGAGAAGTATTTACGGTTAAAAGCGGCGCCATAGAAAGAACACACAGTACGTACTAATTAAGAACAAGCAATTTAAGAACAGTACTACTACATCTCTGACAGAGGGCAGCATTGAGTTTTTTATCATACAAAAAACCCCACGCTTCTCAGCTCTCTGATGACTACGCAGTTCAGAGTGAAGATCAAGGGAAAATGGGATTTTCGGTCATGAGAGAAGCAACAATTCTATTGCTGTTTGCTCCCAGTGACGTTCAAAGTGTTCTTGGTATAGACAACCATAAAGCAGGATGCCACGATAGTCAAAGAGGGAGTATTTACATACAGAGCACTAGTCAACAGACATTTCCTAGTTGTAAAAATGTGCTTTCTGCAAAGACTTGGCATAGAGTGAACCTATTGCAGTTGTGCTTGCAGAGTTAATATGATAACTGGCTTGCAAGACGCTGAACGTCTCCTCTGAGCTGCAGAGCCATCTCAGCTCCTATCAATACTAAGGGAAAAGAGACTCACCGAGGTGTGGGAGAAGCTTTCCCTGGACTTGCCGAAGCGACCCAGAAGTGGCCCCAGACCTCACTGCTCAGCCTTTTATTTACATATAAACATGAGCACTGTTTGACTGTGAATTTTCCACCGCCAACCAAGGGCTCCATTTTATTTCGAGGACGTTCATCAGACCTAAAAAGAAGCGTAATGTTTCCTTCCCTCTCTCCCTCCTCCTCCTCCTCAAAAGGTGGCCAGGAAGAAGGGCTCTTCCCCCATCGAAGATGGGGCACTAAGTCTTCAGGGCAGGGAGAAAAGGGGGCAAGAAAGACGCACAGGGCCCCTGGGAGATGGACAACCGGCCGGTGCCGTTCACAGCGTGCCTTTTACTCTCTGCTTGGCCCTGGGACAGGCTCAGGCATTTTGGCAGATCGCCTCTTCTTGGAGCCACAAGAGTAAGTGTCACTTATACTTGCAGCAGGTCTCCTGTCTGGAGCAGACGCAGCGAGAGTGAGCGCTTGGACGAGAGACGCAGCATCACCGGCTGACGAGAGCCACCCTTGCACCCTGCCTCTCGTAGCAGTGCTGAAAAGGATCCCAGCCTCAAATGTCACGTGCATGGGGTATCCACGTCACCATACGTTGCATAGTATGGTGTAGTGGGATGCACTACACTGCGGCTTTGGCCACTTGTTTCCCACAGTAGTTTTAAAATGCCAGTTGTGCGGTGCTGTGAACCAGGGCGGTACTTGTACAGCCCTCCTGGGAGCAGCTGGGAGCGAGCGGCGAGAGGAAAATAGAGTTTACTAAATCCAAAACCAGAAACAAATTCAGTTTACATTTCTCAATCAGAATGGCCTGTTTTCACAATCAAACATTTCCATGGGAAATGTTTATTCCTTTGCAAGAAATACTTGCAATGCTTGCAAAATGTTTACTCCGCTACCAGCCGTTTGATTTTGCAGTGAAAAGCCTAACACTTCCATTTTTCAAAAGCTGCATATCAACTAGTTTTTGACCACAATTTCCATCTAAAACTGGTTATATTTTGTGACTATTTGAGGAGGGAGGTGGCAGGGTTGGGTTTCTTTGCTCACAGCTTCGCAGAACGTGCTGCTTTCTGACGTGCTCCTTGCAGGGGCCATGCAGCTCCTCCTTTACCGAGGCCAAAGCGTGAAAGCCTGGAGAGGTAGGTACCACACGGGCAACCTCGGGTGAGAAGCTGTTGTAAGGGAAACGTGTCCTGCAACTGCCAGCCTGTTTTCCCCTCTTCTCAGGGACTGTGGGAAGAAGCGGGGACCAGGAGGGCCAAAGCGACTGTCCTGCAAAAGCTGGACAAGCAAAGCTTCCCATCGCCATCTCAGCATCTCAGCCTGACGGGCTGTCGAGGTGGTTGCGCCCGGCGTTAACTAATCACAGCGATGGAGAAATTCATGCTGCAGAGAGAGGTGGGGGGGGGGGCGAACGGAGGAGCAAAAGCAGAAGGGCTGCACGGGTTTGCGCTGGTGGAGGCGGGCAGGGAGAGCAGCGCTTCGCCGCGGAGCCCCTCGGCCCCGTGACGGCTGGCTCGTGGTGGGAACGCTGGGCTCGTGCCCGGGCGCTTTTAAGCCAGAGACTCGAGTTCCTGCCTCGCAAAAAACACCGAGTTCCCTCCTGGTTTTTATTAACTGTAATAAAACAAAAATGTTCTCAGCCTCTTTTTTACGAGAGTGCCTCCCTGAGCTGAGTCTTCCTCAAAGCTGCGTGGCCGCGCAAACCTCTACGACGTAAAGGGAATCCTTTTTCAGTGCAGCACAGGCAAATTGTTGGGCTCATACTGAATAAAAGCTGAAAGTTTTGGAGGCCAAATGTGGGTGGCTCAGTGTTTGTTATAGGATAGACGCGCTCTCTCTCTGTCTCCCCCCATCTCTCGATTTGCCATAAGAAACAGGTCTTTTTTCCTTTTCCCTACCAGCAGGGAATCAATTCTTTTAATAGCTGAATTATTACATTTTGTAATTAGAAACAGTCCTTGCTTTCAGAGTACACAGCAAAGCCTATATCTTTCTAATGTTCCTGGTATGCTGCAGCCCTGGACTCTGGTTGCATCTTCGAGAGAGGAGGCAATTAGGATATAAAAGTGATAAAAGAGGTAGAACAGATATTTAAACACTTGCCCACATAGAAGGTGTGTGTCAGTAAATGTGGATGCTTCCCAAAAATGTGGTGTATGTCTATGTGTGAGTGCATGCGTGTGTGATTGTATCTGTGTATTCATTGCAATGTATTCCATCTCCCTGTAGGCATTTTCATTGTGACTTTCAGAAAAAGCTGCTCCATATTCCCTTTTTGCCCTGTCTCATTGATATTCATTCGGTCTCTAGTGGGCTTAATTAATGCTGCTGTCTGCACACGAAACTATTAAAATAACAGACAGTGCAATAATAGAAGAAGGAGGTGATTCTTTTTAAACCTTTGCTGGGAGTGACCCCAGGGATCCATTTGTCCTGAGCCTTTGTTTGGGAGCCCTCGGCACAGCAGTCTTCAGCACAGGTAGCAGGAGCGAGATGGCTGGCTGGAGATATTCAATACCTCAAAATACATCTGTAAATTCTGTCACCACTTTTCTCTGCAGGGGCCTGAAGGGGAGGAGGAAAGGGGGATCACAACATCGAACGGATCAAACAAGCACTCTTCAGAGAAGACATCAGTCCCTCACTGATCTTTGGCACGATGCGAGCATCTTTGAGGGTAAGTAGTTTTGTTTGTCTGAAATATGGCTGACTGTACCCAAATATTTATGTGCCTCTGGAGTCGCTTTAAAAATATTTGAAGGCCTTTAGTCACGCAGAGTGAAAGTTTTCAAAGGAGCGTAAGCCCTGCTGACTTCCAAGAAGAGAGAAGCGCCTGTGTCACTCAGCTGCTTTTGGAAATATTCCCCGCGACGCAGTCAGGACACACTCGTGAACGTTACGCAGCCCTCCTTGCAGGCAGGCGTTACGAAACTCCTCCAGGGCAAAGGATATGCGGACAATGAAAGGGAAATGAGGATATTCCTGCCTCACCCGCTCCTTCCTCGCTTTAGGAAGGATGCAAATGTCTTTAAAATTTCACCTGGAAGCTGAGCTGGGCCTGACAGGGCTGCAGAGGCAATTTCAGCGAGCTGCCTCGTCCCCCTGCCCTTGCCCTTCCTCTCCTCACCACCCGCCCCAAAGGGACCCTGAGCAGTCATGTGGTCAGACCAACGCGACATTTTGGCAGTAGCTGTCAAGAGCTAGCCCACTTTGCAGTGACGCTTTGGCTGGGTGAAATCATTGCAGCTCCGTTGATTTCAGCTGTGAGCTGCAGGGCTTGCACAGAGATGCCTGACAGGTTATTCCCATTTTATGGAGCCAGAGATGGACTTTTGACTGCTATGCTTCATTTGTGCTTTCACTTTCCTTTGCCTGCCTGCCTATAAATGAATATCTGGCCGGGGGGCGGGGGGGTCAAAGGTGGGTGATGATAACGTTAGCCACGCTGTCTTCTTGTGTGCCTTGACTACCCTAGCTCAATGAGCCGAGGAGGCTTTGGTTGACTTACTTCAGCTTAAGTTTGAACATACTCTCATTTCCTCTAAGAAGGAGAGCAGATAGGCCATGTCAGCCCTCTTTTTATCCTTTGGACACCATGCATGAACGGAGAGATTGGAGTCACACCTAACTCAGCCAAACATAAAACTATTTCAATGGCACTAACATGCTTCTGTGTATCAGGTTCATGAGGATCAAGCTTTGCTGAAACCAAAAACCAGCAATTCTGTTTATCTTCTGGGCAAATCAGAGTACTACAATATCATACATCTTATGTTTAGAATGGAAAGAATCCTTTTAAAGTTAGCAAATATTTGGATGCTTTGCTGCCAACTTCTTTTAGCAGCCTGTGGCATTCCAGTAGTCATTTTTAATAACTCACTCAGATGCTAGCAATACGATCCCACGTCACAGGGTAAAACACACATTTTAAACAGCAATAAACGTGCCGCCTTCTGAGATGCTGTGAGAGATTAAACCTCTTGTAGGAACAAGAACAAAAAACAGTGACACATTCAGATTACATATCTATATCTCACCTCAAGACGATTGCAGCATTTACTGAGTGATGAGAATATATTGTGTGGTGGTGGTAGCAACGCAAGCAAAGCAGACCTCAGAAAAGCTATGCAGTACAATCAAGCAGGTGATTCCCCTTTTGGAAGAGCAGCCCTCAAAACTTGCATTTATGCAGGAACTTGCAGTACTGTAAGTTACAGTGCACAGGGGCAGGAACTGCCCTTCTTACAGCGCTTAGCCGAAAAGGATCGTGTCATTAGAAAACGTCACGTGTGTAAGAGAGTAAGACTGCTTTGCCGTTACGGGTTTTTTCACAAGCGCAGCCCCACATGGCGTGACCCGATTGACTGAAGCTTCCCCACATGTGGCGAGCGCAGAGGCAGAGCACAGCCCAGACCCGTGCCAGGGTGAGGGGCAGTGTATAAAACCTTTAACAGACAACGCGCCCCCCTTTTGCGTGCGAGCTACCTCCAGGCAGAGGTGGGAAAAGTTGCGGAGGTCGCTCCACAGGCCAGTCCGGGTGTCTGGCTGTGTGTTTCCTCTCTCCCGGCATTCAGGGGGCTGAGCTGACTGAGCGCCAGCAGGAAAAGAGATCAGGTTATTAAGCCACTTACTGAGAACATGCTGCTGCTTCCCCCTCCACCTACTGACAGCGATCACCTTCAGCACTATTAACCCAGCTTTGCTTCCGCAGAAGCGTTCCTCACGTGCAACGCGCATCACCAGGGAAGAGCGCCCACGGCACCGGCACGCTGGATTTGCTATGCCCCGGGGGGCCGCCGCAGAGGGAGGGCTGCCTCCAGCCCCGCGGGAACGGGCGCCCCTCGGGAACTGAAGGGGCTCCGAAACAGTGAGGATAACGGTGGCGGAAATGATGGGGAAGAAAGAAGGAAAAAAAGAGTTTCCAAGGGGAAACATCTGTCCTCTTTAGCATTAGCTACAAGTGGTAGCTTTTTAATTATTAAGATGCTGAAGCTGGCAGAGGTTGCAGAGTGGATTGACTCAGTAATCATTTAGAAGAGTCCCAATAGCTGGGGAGGATTCCCATGTAGTCATTTTCTAACTGGATAGAGGAAGAAATAAACTCTTCATGTATTTATTATTATTATGGGCTGTCAATTATGAAGAGTTACTCATCCCTGCTGAGCTACCTCAAGACACTGCTTTACCACTTCACCACTGCTGCCATGATGCTATTCTCTATGTGAAAACCTGAAACTCAGATGTGCTTTTTAAAGCTATAAACAATTTATCTTCCTAAAGTTTTGACAGCTGCCCCTATGTACAAGATATATACATAGATTAAAAAGTATATATGTTTGTATATACGTGTAAAACATGTTGACCGTGGCTTTACGAGGGGCTTTTTCCCTTTTGATTCAGCAAAGCATCTTAGCACACATACTCTAACATCTTAAGCAAGTTTAAAGTGCGATGAGACTTAACCTTAGTGTTTTCCACAACTTCATAGCCTGCTGCCTTGAACCAGCTGGTCCATCAGGCTCATGTGCCACTAAGCACGTATTCAAACCCGTTGAAGTTGGGATTTCAGTATGCATAAGATTCCCTGGCTTGTTGAGTCAGATCTTGAATTTGGGGCAGATTGACCAAGATCTTTAGGAAATGCAGTGAAACTAGTGTGTGTCCACTCAGCATAGGACATTTAGGCGTATTCATGGATACAGTAGAGGCTTAGTACACGGGTATTGTTTTACGATCTAAGAAACACTGGCTTATAACCCCATGTTTTCCTCAGGGTTTGAAGCTATTCCAGAGGAAGGTTCTGGGGTCACTTGTTGGCAGAGGCAGAATTTCCTCTCCCCTCCTCTCCTCTCCCCTCCTCTCCTCTCCTCTCCTCTCCTCTCCTCTCCTCTCCTCTCCTCTCCTCTCCTCGATAAATCTCAGATGCTTTTTATTTCATTTTTAGATTAATGAGACGACTTACTAAAAGGATCACAATGCCCTTCTATTGTTGACTTGTGTAGTTGCAACTTTGGCAACATCTGAGCAACTTATAAACACAAAAGAACAGGCCACTGTGATGTAAAGGACTCTCTCTGCTTTATAGAAGGGCAGCTGAGGTGCAGAGACAGCAGGGCCCAGTGCGCAGAGGTTGTGAGCTGCTTCATAGCCCAGTGAAACACAAGCAATGACTCATCAGCCTTGAAAATCAAAGAAAAAGTTGTGACATATAAAAAGTGTTTGATTTCTCTCTCTGATGTTTTCTGACTGCTTC